GGGACGCAGAAGCGATCTGGCGACAGGTAAGTCGCTAGGATCGCTTCTGTTGTAAAGCCGACAGTCGGCTTTACAAGTTTAAACAGAGTCCCGGCGGCAAAAGTCACCGGGAGTCTGTTTAAACAGCCCCGATGCTGGCGACGTACACTGTACGTCGTCAGTCACGAAGGGGTTAAATAGGACCTGTCACCACCTATATGCCATCACATGGGGGGGGGTTATAAATCCCACTATGTGATGGCATTTAAAGTAAAGTTTAAAAAAAAAAGTTTAAATATTAAAGTAAATGTTAATTTTTTTAACGTCCCCTGAGAGCGCGTGCGTCTTCACGTAAACATGCGTCGGGTGCACCTACGTACGAAAACAACGATTGCGCTACACATGTTGGGTATTGCCGCAGACCCTATGGACTTTTTAGAGTACTACATTTTGTCGCAGTTTCACAGGCGCACACAATTTTTAACCTGAGCATGTTGGGTATCTATTTACTCATTTGTAACCATCTTTTATATATATTTTTTTTAAAGGGTTTTATATGGTTTTTTGGGGCACTTAATTTAACTTGAGTGCATTTTTCACACAATTCTGAGGTTTGATAATTAGTTGCGCTAATGTGCAACATATAAATTTGCAACTACCAACGTTTTATTCTACAGCGCCTTGGCTTTCAGAAAATATATGTTTGGGGGTTTTAAGTAATTTTCAGGCTTAAAATGTGGATTATAACATGTAAAGGAAAAAGAAGCCTTTACATGTTAAAGAAGGATTTAATGAGCAGGTAAAAGCTAATGTGACTGCATTGACAGCCAGTGTTGTGCGAGGCAGACTGAATTGTGTTTGCCTTTGTTACATGCTGGCAGGACTTGGCTCAGTCTGTCTTTTGCATAGCCATCTATTACCTAAGGATGCTGCTAACACCTGGCAGGCCACAGCATGAGGTGAGCCCAGCTCTATACCTGACAAAATTGTTCCTCTGTGCCAGTGTAGTGCTTACCTGTAGTACTGGCATACCCGCCTCCCACTCCTGCTGCTCCTGGCCGAAACTTGTGGAAATTTGTGAAGCTTGGTACACATGCTAGGGTATTTGTGCAGGCACAGCTGCCTCTTTTGAATATTGGAGGTCTCTGTCTAGATGGTTGGAAGTAGTCAAAGCTGTGTAAGCGCTCAATGACCTGGTAACCAGAGAGTTTTTTTGTTTTTTTTTCTTCAGATGCCCTGGCAATTGGGAATTGTCCTATCCTGCTTTAAGTACATTAACAATTTTTGTCCTATTCATTGAGTGTAATTTTTTGTCTGCACATTACTTATTTGCTTACACTCCTGCCAGGACCTCTGGTATGTTCAGGTCTGGTTTGGAAGCTGTATGTTTTTTTTGGTTTGTTTTTTCTCTTCGCTCCAGTGTTTTACTATGCATCCCGCTGCTGTATTTAACCCTGCTTACTACCACCCATAGCCTCTGGGGATGCTCCCGGAGTTGGATGTATCACAGCTTTATAACCATTGACTAGGCCTCAATGTAGCCATACTGGTACATATACGTAAAATATACCTTTTTAAAATAACCTCTAAAGTACATTGAGATTGTTGAAATGCAAATCAAATCATCTTTGAAGATTGCAAAATAAATTATAGGAAACTGTGTGTTCGTTATGGAAAAACATAGCACATCTGTACTGTTTTTTTTTCTCTCATCCCTGTAGGCGAGGACAGATTTCTTGCGTAAAAAGGCCAGCCTGTCATTGCCAGATACCTCAAGTAATGATGAGCTTGCGGTGGTTAAATTGGTCAAAGAATCGACACACATAAACTTCTTCCAGGATGTGAAAGATTGCAAAGGGACCAGCCAAGGAAACAGGGAGTATGAAGAGGAGAAGCACAGAGAAAAGGTAATCATTGCATACAGGTCTGCTTTTATTGTAACCATATTAAGTATTATTTTCTAAAATACTATGTATTCTACCTGACCAGGAGCAACGAGAAAAAGCATTGGGCATTCTGACATATCTGGGGCAAAGTGCATCAGAAGCTCAGACCAGTCGCCCCTGGTACCAGAATGCCCCAATCCGTTCCAAGATGGATGTTGATGACTCTATGAAGGATGAGAAGCTAAAAAGAAATCTTGATCCACTGTATGAAATGGAGAAATGCCTCCACAGAAAATCTGGGGAGAAAAAGAAATATTCAGAAAGAAAACATAAAAAATCTAAAACAATAAAAGAAGAAAGGTATGTGAAACGGGTTAGGTGCTTATTTTTACCTGGAGAATGACATACAAGTACTTTATTGTAGCTATGGTATAGTGTGCTTAGCATGATGTAACCCCTTTATGCCTTGTTAATCAGACAGTGCAAAGTTTATAGCGTGTGTGTGTGTGTGTGTGTGTGTATATATACATGTATGTATGTATGTGTGTGTGTAATATATATATATATATATATATATCAGTTTGGTTTAAAACAAAAACCTGCAGTACTGAAGTACATCTTGAGAAAAGTTCAGCAAAAGTCCTCTTAAGTGCTCCCTGTTGTGTACAGTCTGGTTGAGCATTTACATCACCTGTGGTACCTCTGGACCCCATGCCCTGTCTCTGCTGATGTAAACACTGTGCTGATTCATCTATTAATTATTTTTACATCCTATACATCAGCCCCCCCCGTCAAGGAACCTATAATCTCATAAGCACATACTAGGGCCAATTTAAACAGGAGCCAACTAAAGGACTGTCATGTTTTTGGAGTGTGGGAGGAAACTGGAGTACCCAGAACAAACCCCCACAAAAGCACGGGGGGAACATGCAAACTCCATGCAGTGGCTGGGATTCTAACCCCAAGAACTATGATACTGCTGGCAATGGACTCTGGTTCTTTTTTTTTGTTCACATTTTCTTTAAAATCTTGACTATGGATGCTGGTCTGTTGGGCTGGGGAGGAGTCCTGGACACTCAGTGCTATGGGACTTGGTCGTTGGAGAAATCTCTCATGCATCAATATCTTTTAGTATTAGGCATGCTGCTTGTCCCTTCAACACTCACCTCACAGTTTTGAGAGCCATCTGATCCGATCCAGTTGAGCAAAGCTCAAACATCCCCAGGGGAGAAACAAGAAGTCGTGCTTGTGGCAATAGAGGGGTCGAGTGCATCCAGATTGGTGGAATAGCATGTTCAAGTTCTTTTCCCTCCCTACATGGAAAACTGTTAGGCAGACTTTTTTTCTCAGCAGACATTCTTGACCCATGAGTGGTCACAGAGCCAAGTGGTGTTCCGGGACCTGTGTCTCAGGTAGGGGGCTCCAAACATAGATTGCGTAACATACAGGTTCAACAACATATTAGACATGTCTCGAGATCTGCTGGCCGAGGAAGTTTATTCCTTGCCTGCTTTCCAGGATCAAGGTTGAGGGCATTCCAGTAGTTCTCATAGCCCCAGATAGTCCTGGAAGAGGGCAGTGCGTCAACCAGGTTTTGAGGTACAAAGGTATCACAGATTCTCTTATTGCTACGATGCTTAAGGTCATGTTCACACTATGTGCAGTGATCTGTTTTTGTTTTGTTTTTCTGCACGAGAAAAATGCAAGTCACTGCTAGGGCATATATGTGGTGTACCCGGTTCACACCAATCAGTTTGGTTTAAAACAAAAACCTGCAGTACTGAAGTACATCTTGAGAAAAGTTCAGCAAAAGTCCTCTTAAGTGCTCCCTGTTGTGTACAGTCTGGTTGAGCATTTACATCACCTGTGGTACCTCTGGACCCCATGCCCTGTCTCTGCTGATGTAAACACTGTGCTGATTCATCTATTAATTATTTTTACATCCTATACATCAGCCCCCCCCGTCAAGGAACCTATAATCTCATAAGCACATACTAGGGCCAATTTAAACAGGAGCCAACTAAAGGACTGTCATGTTTTTGGAGTGTGGGAGGAAACTGGAGTACCCAGAACAAACCCCCACAAAAGCACGGGGGGAACATGCAAACTCCATGCAGTGGCTGGGATTCTAACCCCAAGAACTATGATACTGCTGGCAATGGACTCTGGTTCTTTTTTTTTGTTCACATTTTCTTTAAAATCTTGACTATGGATGCTGGTCTGTTGGGCTGGGGAGGAGTCCTGGACACTCAGTGCTATGGGACTTGGTCGTTGGAGAAATCTCTCATGCATCAATATCTTTTAGTATTAGGCATGCTGCTTGTCCCTTCAACACTCACCTCACAGTTTTGAGAGCCATCTGATCCGATCCAGTTGAGCAAAGCTCAAACATCCCCAGGGGAGAAACAAGAAGTCGTGCTTGTGGCAATAGAGGGGTCGAGTGCATCCAGATTGGTGGAATAGCATGTTCAAGTTCTTTTCCCTCCCTACATGGAAAACTGTTAGGCAGACTTTTTTTCTCAGCAGACATTCTTGACCCATGAGTGGTCACAGAGCCAAGTGGTGTTCCGGGACCTGTGTCTCAGGTAGGGGGCTCCAAACATAGATTGCGTAACATACAGGTTCAACAACATATTAGACATGTCTCGAGATCTGCTGGCCGAGGAAGTTTATTCCTTGCCTGCTTTCCAGGATCAAGGTTGAGGGCATTCCAGTAGTTCTCATAGCCCCAGATAGTCCTGGAAGAGGGCAGTGCGTCAACCAGGTTTTGAGGTACAAAGGTATCACAGATTCTCTTATTGCTACGATGCTTAAGGTCATGTTCACACTATGTGCAGTGATCTGTTTTTGTTTTGTTTTTCTGCACGAGAAAAATGCAAGTCACTGCTAGGGCATATATGTGGTGTACCCGGTTCACACCACAATGCTGCTGTAATATATGCTGCATTTTTCCGTAGTGCACTGGATGGCATTGCAGGTCACCTCATCTCATCTCACTGCGCTGCTGTACGGAGACCTGGATGGGGTGTACACTCCAAATAAAGTTTAAAACAAAAAAGTGCAGTGTAATGGGCTGTAACAGCTGCTAGAGACTGCTAGCTTCTCATTGTCTGATCAAGACCTTTGTTCCGGAGTTTCTCACCTGTGTTCCCCCTGTTAAACCCCCTTTTCCGTCATAGGATTTAAATTTTGGTTCTCTCTATGCTTCAAAGGTCTCCCCTTTGAGCTTCTCAAAGACATTGCTCTTTTCATCCTGACCCACAAGGTGTCTTTTCTCAACTAGGACCCTTTCCTAGTGCGTAACAAATGAAGGCAGTGTTGAGGATTAGGCCTTTCTTTCTAAGGTGGTCTCTTACTTTTTGTCCTTGTATTAGCCCCAGTACACCAGAACATTTTCCTCCATTGTCTGGATGGGGTTTGTCCTCTTTCAGCATTACAGATTCCCTGTTTGTCCTCGCTGGGCCCCGGAAGAGTGCCCCGGCTTCTTGTTCCAATGTTTCTAGGTGGATTCAGTTCAGTGTTTAGGCTTATAATCTCTAAGATAAGGTTTCCCTGTCCTTTCTGAGCTAACTCCACTAGAGCTGTGAGCGCTTGAGCATTTCGGCATCGGACCTGTTTCCCGATAGCTGGTCTCTGGTTCACATGTTCTCCAAGTGGATGTTTCGGCTTGTTTTTATGATAGCTTTGGGTTTATTTTTTTACACACAAGAACAAGCTGTATGCAGTCCCTTGTTGGGCTTGTTAGCCTATGTTGCCCACCCCTCATTTAAAGTATTTTTGAACATCCCAGATGTTGAAGAATCCTGTATTACTGAACTAGAGAAAAATAGGATGTTTGTACTCTGTGTAAAATCCTTTTCTGGTTGTACCCAGACTGGCCTATAGTTTGTTTATTTCTAGTGGCCAGTCCTCCTGAATGTGGCAGCATAAAGCATATGTTCAAGAATCCTGTGTATGCGGAGGGCTCCTTTCTTTTAAAGTTAAAGAAGAATTATGAGGTGAGTGCTTTTCACTCACCTCATAGATCTAGCCGACCCGTGACAATGAGACTGTCACAGGTCGGCTCAGTAGATCGGGAGGTGAGTGAACACATACCGGCGTTCGCTCACCTCTCGATCCTGTCACGGCTCTCTGCCGTGATAGGGGAGGGGCTGGATTCCCCGCTCCGATCTGCCAGCGCTGACTGGCGGAACGGACGGGGGAGGGGGCGGGTACAGCTGGCTCTGCCTGTAGATAGGCAGAGCCAGCTGTCAGTCACGCAGCTGGGCGTATCCCGGCACAATTGTTGGGATCCGCTGCGGCGTCTATACCGCAGCAGCTCGCAGTATACTGCGGCATCTCAGCCTTAACCCCATAGTTCTCAAACACACAATACTAGTACTAAACTGCATGCACATGGCCTTGTAGTTCAGAAAAACTCACAGCCTAGATGCATGTCAGTTTAGGGACAACTATTATTAATATTAATTAGGGATGCACTGATACCAATACTAGTATAGGTATCGGTGCCGATTCCGAGTATTTGGGCGAGTACTCGCCCAAATGCTCCGATGCCTAGCACGAGTACTTCCGGTATCAGGAAGCCCGGTTTCCCTATTGGCCGGGAAGCAGCTCCATGCTCTCTCGTCACTTGTGATGAGAGAGCATGAAGCCGACTTCCCGGCCAATCAGGAAGCCGGGCAGCGTGTAATGACGCGCTGCCTGGGTTCTTGATTGGTTGGGAAGCTAGCCAATCAGTGAGCTGGCCTCGTGAGGTAAGGTTACCTTACCTTAGTATGTGCAGCCTGTCACCCCCAGGTCCTCTCCAGCGAGAACGTGGCCTTCCTCCGGTACCCAGCCGGAGCCGTCTGGCCGGCCAATCAGGAAGCCAGGCGCCGCGTAATGACGCGACGCTCCCTGCTTTCTGATTGGCCGGGAAGCTGGCTTCATGCCCCCTCGTCATCTCAGGTAAGAGGGGACTTTCTTGTTAATCGGGAAGCCAGGTGGCGAGTCTTTACTGTGATGTTTGGGGAATTAGCTGGACCGCAGGACCAGGAGCAGCAACAATAAACAGTCATTTCCTTCAGTACAGCAAAACAACTTAAAAGATTGCTTCCTTCAGCATAGAAATAATAAACTGTACCGTTTGCTTCCTTCAGCACAGAAAAGAATAACAGCCTCACCGGCTTGGAGGGTTTCAGTCCACAAGGTTATCACACTCTTAACTTTAGAGTTTCTCTCTCAGCCCACAGGCTCCCGGTAAAGTTCGGCTGCTTCACAGCACCAGTACTTTCATCTGCCCCACAGCCTTGTCTGCAAACATTTAATCAGGGCTATTCTCTCCCTCTCTCTGTCTCTAGCTTCCTATCCTTTTGAACACACTTCCTGCAGCAGGTGTTAACCCATTTCTGTCCCTTAAAGGGACCACAACCCGAACAAAGGGAAATATACACCTCTTCTGTACATTACATGCTGCCCGGCTAATCAGGAAGCCAGGTGGCAAGTCTTTACACGCCACCTGCCTTCCTGAATGGAACTTCCGTTACTCGGTAATTGGTATCGGCGAGTACTGAAAAAAAATTATCGATACTCTGTAACAAAATACCGGTATCGGTGCATCCCTAATATTAATAGAAAATGTCATTTTTTTGTATTTCACATGACTGTTTTTCTCCACATTTACATGCAGACCAAGCTGGGTAGCAGAATTATGCATTCAGAGTTTGGGACATTGCGTACAAAAATGATCCTTTTTATTTCTTTTGTTTAAATTCCATTTTAAACGGCGAGAATGAAAGATTAACCCTAAGATGTGCTATGGTTTGTACCAACCACTCACTTTCGCCAGCGTGGTGTGTGTGTTGTTCAGACCTCCTTCACTTTTTGTTGCATCCTAAAATTATAGTTGTTTAAATTATTTATTTATTTTTCTCCCTCATCTACACTCAGTACCCCAAAATGACAAAGGGAAAACAGAATTTTAGAAATGTCTGTAAATGTATTAAAAGGCAAAAACTGAAATATAACATTGGCATAAGTATTCAGACCCTTTGAAACAACACTTGAAATTTAGCTCAGGTGCCTCCCAATTTTCATGAATGTTGCTGAGATGTTTCTACACCTTGATTGGAGTCCCCCTGTGGTAAATTAAATTGATTGGACATGATTTGGAAAGGCACACACCTTTCTATAGAAGGCCTCACAGCTGACAATGCATACTGTATCAGAACAAAAGCCATGAGGTCAAAGTAACTGCCTGCAGAGCTCAGAGACAGGATTATTGCAAGGCACAGCACTGGGGAAGGCTACCAAAAATGTCTGCTGCACTGAAGGTTCCCAAGAGCACAGTGGCCTCCATAATTCTCAAATGGAAGAAGTTTGGCAGAACCAGGACTCTTCCAAGAGCTGGTCGCCAGGCCAAACTGAGCAATCGGGGGAGAATGCCTTACTAAGAGAGGTGACCAAGAGCCTGATTGTCATTCTGACTGAGCTCCAGAGATCCTGTGTAGAGATGGGACAAAGTTCCAGAAGGACAAACATCACTGCAGCCCTCTACTGATCTGGCCTCTATGGCAGAGTGGCTAGACGGAAGCCTCTCCTCAGTGCAAAACACATGAAAACCAGCTTGGAGTTTGCAAAAAAAGCACCTGAAGGACTTTGACTGTGACAAATAAGATTCTCGGGTCTGATGAAACCAAGATTGCACTGTTTGGCCTTATCTCTAAATCTTATGTCTAGAGGAAACCAGGCACTGCTCATGACCTGCGCTAAACCATCCAAACAGTGAAGCATGCTGGTGGCATCATCATGCTGTGAGGGTGTTTTTCAGCAGCAGAGACTGGTCATGGTTGAAGGAAAGCTGAATAGAGTGAAGTACAGTAAAAACCTGTTCCACAACGCTCAGGACCTCAGAAGGTTCACCTTCCAACATGACGATCCAAAGCACACAGCCAAGACGACACAGGAGTGGCTTAGGGACAACTCTGTGAATGTCTTAGTGGCCCAGCCAGTGCCTTGACTTGAACCCAATTGGACATCTCTGGAGAGGCCTGAAAATGGCTGTCCACTGATGGTCCCCATCCAACCGGACTGAGCTTGAGAGGATTTGCAGAGAAGAATGGCAGAAAATTCCCCAATCCAGACGTGTAGAGCTGCAGCTAACGATTATTTTCCAAATCAATTAGTTAGCCGATTTTATTAAGTTCGATTAATCGGATAAAAAATAAAATGCATTTAAATAAATGGCTCCAGGGATGGACTACTAGTTTTTATTGAGATTGCAGTCCATCACAGGAGCAAGCTTGGAGCGGTGGAAGTAAAAAAAAGTGTGCTGTGCAATGTAGTGAAATGAAAAGTGTAAAATTTATACAGCAATGAATGCAGAATGGCATCGGCTATAGAGGACTCAAACCCAGCAATGGTACATTATACAGCACAATTTAGAATACCACCAGCTATAGAGGAATACACCAAATCCCAGCAATAGTACATTATAGCTGGCGGTATTCTGCATTGCGATGTATAATGTGCTATTGCTGGGTGTTGTAGTCCTCTATACAGCGCAATGCAGAATACCACCAGCTATATAGGAGTACAACAAGTCCCAGCAATACATTATACATACAGTGTACAATGTATTGCTGGGATTTGTATTCCTCTATAGCTGATGGTACATTGCTCTGTATAATATACATAGGACTACAAATCCCAGCAATACATTATAGAGCACCATGCGAGGGGGGAGTGCAGGCTTGTTTCTGAGATCGGGCCTGTCTATCGGCGGCTGTGGTCTGCCCACACCTGCTCCTCATTTCTTCTCCCCGCATCCCTGTGGCGATCGTGGATTTGGGCGGGCGGTGAGCGTGAGGCATGGAGGAGGTGCGGAGCGTGGATGTGGGCGGGTCTGGCAGCAAACGTGAGGTGGGGCGCGCAGCGTGTGTGGAGCCGTGAACAGGGCCAACCAATCAGAAGCCGATTAATCGATGATTGAAAAAGTTGACAACTTTTTCAATAATCGATTATGGCGATTAGTTGTTGCATCCCTACAGATGTGCAAAGCTTGTTGCATCATACCCAAAAAGACTTGAGGCTGTAATTGCTGCCTAAGGTGCTTCAACAAAGTACTGAGTAAAGGATCTAAAAACTT